GTGCCTTAAGACAACAGACATCTGATTCTTAAGGTCTCTGCGGGTCAGGAACTTGGGGGTGACTCACTGGATGGCTTCAGCTCAGTCTCCTCGTGAGGTTCTAGTCAAGATGTCAGCTGGGGTGCAGGCATCGGAAGGCCTGGGTGGGGAGGGAGCAACGCCTTCATGGTGGCCCACGCTCGGCAGGAGCCTCGGTTCTTTACCACGTGGGTCTCTTCACAGGTTGCTTGAGGGGCCTCATGACATGGCAGCTTGCTTTCCCTCAGGCATGCATTCCAAGAGAGAAAGCAAGGAGGATATCATGGTGACAGTCTTGGAAAGTGGACAGTGTCATTTCCTCTATGCGCTCTTTGTTAGGAGTGATGGCCATTAAGTCCAGCCCCTACTCAAGGGGCAGGAATTGCAGCAACTAGGGTAGCAGTTGATGGGGCAACTGCGAGATGTAGGGATCCTGGGGGCAGGCTCCGGGGGATGCTGCCCAGAGCGGGGAATGGATTTCCTGTCCACGGCAGGCTTGGACAGTGTTTTGCAGAGTTCTAGCCAGCTAGAGCTGTGTTGTCTGCCTCAGGCTGGGGTGGGTACCGCTCACTCCTGCCACTTCATTAGCATGGGTACTTGTCCTTCCCATCATGCGGCAGCCAAAGGCTGCTGGCACCCAGCCAGGTGTGGGGTGGACCATCTCAAGACCATGAGAGCCAGATGTCGTTGGCTGCTGATGCCATGGTAACTTGCTCAGGTGCCCCAGGCAGTCGTCCTGGCTACTCACTGGGAACTGCTTGGCCCCGGCATCAAGGCCTGGATTTGCTTCTTTCTAGAGCTGGCCAGTTCAGGGTCTGTTTGATTTGTTAGCTTTATCATATGGGGATGTCGTTTCCGAATCCAGAAGAAGTCTGAGGTGAATGAGTGTGGGGGCAACAGGAGAGGATATTTGCTATTGGATCATCCTGGAAAATCTGGGACATTCCCCATCCTGTGACTGATGCACCAGTCTTCATGAGACTGCCTGGCTGTAGGCTCTAGTGGGGCTGGCTGAAAAACCCAAGTGGAACTCTCCCCCAGGGATTATTATTGAGGTTTCTCCAAAGATCCTGACTTCCTGCCTCCTTATTTTGGGCTGAATGAGGACCTGGCAGCGCTTGACTCCTCAGTGTGGCATTTTGGAAACACTGCCCGGTAACCTGGCTTCGTGGGACTCCTCCTGGCCGATTTTCTTGGGAGTCACTCTGCCCTGGACGGGGGTATCATGTCACATGGTCTCTCAATTCCTGGACCTCAGCTGAAGCCAGTCTGCTGGCATCTTTTTCCTTCTAGTTTTATTGAGATGTAATTGATACTCATCACTGTATTAGCTTAAGTTGTACAGCGTGATGGTTTGACTTACATTTATTGTGAAATGATTACAGCAATAAATTTAGTTAACACTCATCATCTCATATATTCGTGTGTTACAAAGTCTTAACCTGAGCCTCTGGTCAGCTAAACCCCTAGGGGTGACATGTTTCTTCTGGCCTTTCTGATGTCCATAAACTCCCCAACATACACACATACACACACACACACACACACACACACGCCCTTCTGATGTCCATAAACTCCCCAACACACACACACACATACACACACACATACGCACACACACATCATACAAAATTAGAGCAACTTTCTTTCTGATTATTTTTCCTTTTCCAGACAGGGACATCGATATACTTGAATCATGAGCCGACAGTAATTAAAAAGCACATAACTAGTCATTTTAAAATGTAGTTGTTTTACTTAATTNGGGCAGGGGTGGGGAGGGGTGGGCTATCTCTCCATCAGGTTCCCTGTGCACCCTTACTTTCCGCGCCTCTCTTCACTTCCACTGGTCAAATGGGGGATTTGGGCAAGTCCTCACAGCTCGGCCTTGTTCAGGGTGCTGAATTGGCCCCTGGGCTTGGGTGGTCCTGGGATCGCCCCCCATTCCAGCCCCTGGTGGGAGCAGGGGATTGTAGAAGGCCCCCTCTCCATTCCCTGGGGCTATGGGAGACCAGCCTTCCTCTTACCCTGGAGGCTGGGCGATGCTTGCCCTGGCCGGTCCCCCTCCCCGCCCCCTCCCGCCCTCCTGGCCGCTCTCTGGACACACAGCCCTAGTGATGCCATGTCAGGCTTCGGCTGCAGTGACTCTGCAACGTCCCTGCAATGACACGGATTCGAAGACTGGTTGTCCTTCTCAGAGGATGAGCAAAATGTGCCCAGGGAGCCAGGCGGAGGCTTGGGGTGGGGGTAGGCTCGGATGACCCCCAAGACCTCCTTGCAGTGGGGAGCTTGGCCCAGTCTAGCTGCCAGAGGTGAGGGTCTGAGTTCACAGCTATTTTTCCAGAAAAGCCTTCTCCTTGGTGTTCCTTCAGGCATTACCGGAGGGTTTCCTAGGAAGTGGTGTGGTTGCCATTACGTAACAGAAGGGAACGTTGCTGAAATTCCACCCCGCTTCTGTTTCTGGATCTCAGTCCAGCAAGAGGGTGGGAAGGGGATGGAACTCCCACTCACTGAGCCTCTTAGGGGGCACCGGGCACTGTGCCCAGGTTTCTTGCATCTCTTCCAGCTGGGGCCTGAGTGCACACTGCGTCAGGCAGAACCCCTTCAGTTGTGTGTGACAGAACACAACTCACATTGCCTTCAGCAAAAAAAAAAACATACATGGGGTGGGCACCGCGGGTGGCTAGGACCAGCGTGACCGGCCCGGCTCTCCTCCTGGTGTCTACTCCGTGGCCCCCGGCAGCCCCAGGCTTCACGTTCAGGTTTCAGCTTCGAGTTGAACAGCAAGAAAAAAAATCCCTTCCACAGGTCAAACAGAACAGTGAGTCTGATTGGACCAGCTGGGTCATGTGTCCGTCTCTGATCCAATCAGGATGGCCCGAGGAGGTCCCTGGGGTTCTGACTCCGCAGGCCAGGGTCTCACACCCACCCTGGAGTAACAGGCAGGGTGCCCGCAGGTAAATCCTACTCTCGACATGCGCTTGTACACATGAGGCCTTAGGAGCAGGAGGGATGTGGGAGCAGGGTGGTCCAGCCATTTCAAAAGGAGAAAAGAGTTGATTCAACCCCTCTCCAATAGAGAGAATAGTGGATTCGATCCTTCAACAAATATTTGTTTAGCACCGACAAGTTCCGGTCCTGTTCTAAGTGCAAGGAAGTCAGCAGCGAACAAAACAGAAAAAAAATCGCTGCCTGTTTGGAGCTGGTGTTCTAATGCAGAATGGAGGGCGGGTGGTCCCGTCGTTCTTAGTCTACGCCCAGGCCCAGGATAACGGATTCTTGTGTGGAAAGACCCCGGGTGACTCAGGGTGACAGTGTGGGAAGGAGCTGGGCTCAGGGAGCCCAGAACTCACGAGGGGAGGGAAAAAGACAGGTTATGTGGTTGGGGAAGCGGGCAGTAAGGGGTGGGGTACAAAGTGAGGAAGGAGGGGGACAGGAAGCCAGTCTGGACGCATTGCCCGTGACAGAAAAGGGGCGGCCCCTCCCGCGTTCGCCTGGACCTTTGGGCCCCGCAGGATATTGACAAATGGCATGGAGTCAGTGAAAGCTCCAAAAATGATGACAGGACTGGAGCGAGTGATTTATGAGAGGAGATTAGCGGAGTGATGGTGCGGCCTAGCAAACAAAGGCACGGGGTGGGGGTGGCCCTGGATCCTGCAAACCTCGGAAGTCCAAGGAGAGGCGAGGGGCTGGGGGGCAGCGTGGGGTGGCCGCTGCAGAAGGGGGACAGAGGGGGGCAGCGGGGCCAGGGGGCTGCGTCGACCTCGGCTTGAGAGCCTGGCGTGAGGAGGAGGGGAGGTGTGTGAGACGTACACACAGGGGTGTGCGTATGTGTGCGTGTGACTGGGTTTTCCAGAATTGTGAGGCTATCCAGGGAGCTCAAGAAATGGAGGGGACGTGGATTTCCCCCCTGGGGAGATTCTGCAAGAGGCTTTTGGGACCCTCCTTCCCATCTGGTAGAGTATTCCTATCTGGATCTTTTAGCTGATACCATTCAAGTCAGAAAGACCTTTTCCTTCGGGAGAACTGGGATGGCATTTCTAAGAGGGAGGTGGGGGGAAGGAGGAAGGGAAGAGGAGATGAAAGAGCATGGGGTCTATGGTCCGATTCGTAGAGCAAGTGAGGCACAGAGGATGGGGGTCTGCCCAGGACGCCTGGCGTGGCATCACCCCTGAAGACTGAAAGCCCGGCTCTGGTCTGCAGCTTGGGAACTCTGCCAGGGGGGCCAGGTCAGGCGTGGGCTTGGGGACCCTCAGCGAGGCTCAGGCAGCAACAAGTGGTCATTGCTGGGTTTGGAGCCTCCAGCCCACGCGTCCTTGAGCTTTCCAGTTGGAGGGGTTGAAACATCTTCTGTCTGATCCCCTGTCTTGAGCTGCCTGGGCCCAGGTTCTGTTAACTTTTGAGCGTACCCATATGTGAGAGCCTTGGAGGCACACGTGGTACAAATGTTCGTCGCTTAGTCAGTCGTGTCCGACTCTTTGCAACCCCATGGACGGTAGTCCACCAGGCTCCTCTGTCCATGGGATTCTCCAGGCGAGAATACTGGGATGGGTGCCCATTCCCTTCTCCAGGGGATCGTCCTGACCCAGGGATCGAACCTGGGTCTCCTGCCTTGCAGGCATATTCTTTACCGTCTGAGCCACTGGGGAAGTCTCTGGAGGTACAGTGGTAGGTAATTAAACGGACGGATGATGCACAATCTTGGACATTCTAGATGGCACTTTTTTGGCTTTAAGTGGAGATTGCGCTGGGTTCCCAAGCACAGGTGAGTCAAGTCCTCCACATGTGTTTTCTGTCTCACTTCCTGAGTCAGGACAGGTGTGTGTGAATTTCCATGGCTGCAAAGGACCCAGGCAAAGCAGCTGAGGAGAAGTCTGTCATGGAGGCATTAGCCACCGCTGGTGGAGGCCCCGGCCCATCCTCCTCCTGCCCCTCTGAGTTGAGTCCTCGTAATTGCCCTGTCCTCTCTTCTCCTCTCTTGACAGATTCATGATTTGTTCCTGAGCTTTGACGACACCCCTCTGGGAGCGGCCTCCCTGGCCCAGGTCCACAAGGCCGTGCTGCGTGATGGGCGGACGGTGGCTGTGAAGGTCCAGCACCCAAAGGTGCAGGCTCAGAGCTCGAAGGACATTCTTCTGATGGAGGTGAGAGCCTTCCTCCTCCCCTCCCTTCATCCTCATTCTATGTTTCCCCAGGATCTGGGCAGTCCCAGTGAAACTGGTGGAGTGTGGGCCTCTGATTCGCAGAGTGAGAGAGGAGAGCTTGAGATCACAAAGGAGGTGTCATGACAACACTGGGACCCAGGGACCCATGGCTGGGTTGGCCGATTTTTTTATTCATTCCTGGGAATTGTCTGCGATGGTCTCAGAACATGTGGGCAACTGCTGGGGCCAAGGAGACCTCATTGAGGTGGGGGATGTTGTAGAAATGAGGTGACCCTAATAGGTGATTTCCTTGGGGGTAGAAAAAGCTGCATACTAATCTGGTCAATTATAACGAAAGGGAGCATGTGGTCAGCCAAGGAGTTTAAACATGACACGAAGATCACATAGAAATGTTTATGTAGATCGCCCATTTGCTTCTCTGATATTCGTTCTGAATGAGCAAATGCGCATGCCCTAAAGTGGCGCTGAGACAGCTCTAGTGGATCCTGTGCTTCTGGACTTTTCTAGCTCCCTGCCTCGAGCAAGGGGAAAGGGTGAGTGGCTAGGGCTTGGGCCGTAGCCAGCAGGCCCAGCAGAGGTCAGCGGTCTGCTGACCCTGCCAGCATGTTCCCCTCCTTCCTTTCCCTTTCCTCGGTTCCCTGTCCTCACTTTGGACACTTAGTTTATTCTTTCAGCTCTCTTTGACTAAACCTGACAGGTGCATAGGACACACGAGTGAGTGACCTGTCTCTTCATCCTCAGAGAGTTCCCCCATTTAGTGGAGGCCTGAACACAAACAGTCCTTGATTGTGAGCTCCATCTAAGGTGTTGGCAAGGTGCCGTGGGGCCTGGACTGACGGGGGTATCAGAGGGGTTTCACCGAGGCGCCCACGAGACTGCTGGACAGCAGAAGGGTGGCCCAGCCGAAGGTCTCGAGTCTCAGGGGAGCAGGGTGCCTGCGGAGAGCGTCAGCCGGTTCAGATGGTTCGAGCTGGGAGTGGGTGCAGGCCAGGCTGGGAAGATAGGCAGGATGGAACACGGAGGTCCTTGGGTTCTAGGCTCGTGTACAGGGTGGAGTACATAGTGAGTACGTATTTACTGGGGAACCGAGCAGATCTGATTTTCTCTTGCAGTCAGTGGGGAACCATTTAAGAATTTAATCAGGGAAACATCGTGATCAGACGTGCCTTAGAAATAAAAGTGTGTTAACAGTCTGGAGGATGTTTGGGGAGGCAGGAAGACTGTAGCCAGGGTGACTAACTGAGGGGCTTCTGCACCGCTCTGAGAGAGCAGTGGTGTGAACCAAGGCAGCGTCATGGGGGTGGAGGAGAGGCATGGATTCACGGGGTGGGAGCATCAGGACCTTGTGACCAGCTTGGTTTACGTGGATTGAGGGAAGACACCGGCATGGATGAGAGTGAAAACAAATCGTATGTTTCTGGCTTCTGTGATTAAACTTGGGGGCCTTTAACTATGTGTATCAGTCTGGGTTCAGTTGGGGAAAAAGAACTTGTTCTAGGCATCTCAGAGGGAGTTTCAAACAGAACATGGGGTTCACCGGGGATGGAATTGTTGAGAAGCCAAGTGGGATGGGGAGATAGTCACCCAAGGCAGGAAGCCACTGCCACCCTTGAAGCAGAGGGACAAGAAGGGGTGGTTCCCTGGATCCCAGGTGCTGGGGACACCTGAGGGGAGTGGGTCATGGACATAGGATCTGTCACGTGGTATTGGAGCCAAAGATGCTGTTTGAGGTGTGGGTGTTTCACCTCCTCCTGTCCCCCTGTATGCCACCAAATCTAGCTGGAAGCTGGTTGGCAAGGGAGCCTGGGGAATGTACTTTCTTTATGAGATAAGGGGGTGGCATGGATGTCAGAACAAACAGTGTGGGTGATGGAGCAACCATGTACTATAAGACATCACTGTCTGGATGTCTCGTTTAGTCACTAAAGTCACGTCAGACTCTTTGCGACCCCATGGACTATGTAGCCCACCAGGCTCCTCTGTCCGTGGGATTTCCCAGGCAAGAATCCTGGAGTGGGTTGCCATTTCCTTCTCTAGGGGATCTTCCCAACCCAGGAAGTTCTTCCCGAGAATCTTCCCGAGCCCGCCATCTCCTGCTTGACAGTTAAATTCTTTAGCACTGAGCCGTCTGGGAAGCCTGTCTATAATTCAGGCTGGGAATACAGCCTGGATTTATCAGCAAGGAGACTCATGGGAGCTGGATCTGGGGGAGTAGTTGAGATCGCTTAGAAAAGCTACATAGACTAAAACAAAAGGGAGAGGGCAGAGACAGAACCGTGAGGAACATCGTCATTTGGGGACTGTGCCCAGAAGGATGAGTTCCCGAGGGAACTAAGGAGGCGTGGTCAGCGGGATTATAGGAGAACCAGGACTGAGCATCTGCATTCAGTGAAAACAGTGTCAAGAGGAGAGCTCTGTCTGCTATCTAGCATCCTAACTGATGCAACCACTAGTCTGCACATTGAACCACCTCAAAACGGAGTGGCTTAAGACCCCAGTCGAGTACTGGGCTCCTGACTGCAGTCTGGGTGGGGCGTGATAGATGCATCTCAGTTCTGTGTGGTTCCAGGTGGGGAGCTGGAGGATGCACTCACATGCCTGGCAAGTGGGTTCTTGCTGTTGGCTGGGATCCCAGCTGGAGCTGTGGGTCAGGGCCTCATGTCTTCTCTGTGGAGGCCTCTCCAAGGCTGCGTGGGCTTCCTGGAAGCCTGGTGGCTGGGTTCTAAGAGTAAGTGTCCCAAGAGCATAAGACTGAAAGTACATCATGGTTTCATGACCTGGGTATGGCAGTCAAGTAGGTTACTTCTTCCTTCCTTTATTGGTAAGAGTGAGAGTCACAGAGGCCCCCTAGGCTCAGTTCAGTTCAGTTCAGTCACTCAGTCATGTCTGACTCTTGACGACCCCATGGACTGCAGCACGCCAGGCCTCCCTGTCCATCGCCAACTCCCGGAGTTTACACATACCCATGTCCGTTGAGTCGGTGATGCCATCCAACCATCTCATCCTCTGTCGTCCCCTTCTCCTCCTGCCCCCAGTCCCTCCCAGCATCAGGGTCTTTTCAAATGAGTCAGCTCTTCACATTAGGTGGCCAAAGTAGTGGAGTTTCAGCTTCAACATCAGTCCTTCCGTTGAACACTCAGGACTGATCTTTAGGATGGACTGGTTGGATCTCCTTGTAGTCCAAGGGACTCTCAAGAGTCTCCCCCAACACTACAGTTCAAAAGCATCAGTTCTTTGGCGCTCAGCTTTCTCTATGGTCCAACTCTCACATCCATACATGACTACTGGGAAAGCCATAGCCTTGACTAGGCTGACCCTAGGCTTAAGGGGCAGTGAAATAGATTCTGCCTCTTGATGGGGGAATGGCATGGTTTCAGAAGAGCATTCGAGTGGGAGACACTGTTGTCGTCATTTTAGAAAATAGAGCCTATCAGAGTTAGTTGATATTGCCAAGTGGAATGTAAATTAGTAAAGCTCTGAAAAGAGTATGTTGGATTTGCTAACTTAGAGTTTTTTGGGAAGAACAGGGACTATGGGGTGAGTGGGGGTGAAAGAGAGTTGAGGGCCCGGGAAGTGGAGACGGTTAGTGGAGACTACTCTTCCATGTTTGGCCTTGGATGGGGGGGACAGTGAGGGTAGTGGTTAGATCCAAGCACAGGTTTAGGTGGGGGCCTCCCAGAGGCTGTTGCTGATGGGGAAGGGGCAGCGGAGTTGGCGGCTTAGGAATTCAGGAGAGAGCAGTAACTGATAGAGCTGGTGCAGGAGACGCGTGGAGGGCCTGGGCCCCAAGGACACAGGTGGAAGCAGGAGGCTTTGGCAGCCTTTGTTCTGGGGCCAGAACTTTGTTCTTGAGGCTGGGTCCAGATGAGTGAGTGGGGCAGAGGGGGAAGGCGGGGACAGTGGGCAGCTGAGTTGTACCAGCCTGATAATGTCTATTTTTCCCTCTGAAGTGGGAGGTAAGACCATCTGCTGAGAAGGAGGGGGTAGGAGGTGGCATGGGGGCTTGAAGGGGATGAAGATTTGGAATCCTGCCGGGTGTGCTGGAGAAGAGAGCTGACCGGGACCCGGGAGTGGGGCTGCTGAGTGGCGCCGGGCATCCAGCTGGGAACCTGGGCTTTCTGAAACATCAGTCCATGGTATGGAGCAGCCACAGATGGAAGCGCACTGCCAGTCTCGGAGGGTCCCTGGGTGTTCCTGGGACCCCGCAGCCACACGTGGGTTGGGCTGGGACCTGTCTCTGCCTAGTGGTGCCCACAGGGCCCACAGGGGGCTGGGAGGACAGCTGACATCTCTCCTCTGCCCAGAGCCTCACCCCTCCCTACGTAATGGTGGCCGGAAGGTCAACCGCAACAATAGCAGTGGTGAAGATTTGGCATCTTCCTCCCTGAGATAAGCATCAGATGTTTTTCTTGAAGTTACCAGCCGTGTGGCCATGTGTTGAGGAGAGTGGCGGCTCCCTTGCAGTGGCTGGGGCTGGGGTCTCAAGGCGGACCAGAGACCCGCACTCACGCCTGCAGGAGAGAAGCTGGAAATGAGGCCTGAGGTCTTCCGTGGGCCGCCAGCAGCAGCAGCGGCACAGAGTGGTACTGCCTCTCACTGCGCCTGGCCTCTGGTGGGAAGAGTCTTAGCTTGGTCACCCTTCTCTGGTTTACAACCAAGAAGTGCCAACTGGAAAGCTCATTTTGTTTTATATATGAAATGAGCATGAGTTTTTTTTTTTTTTTTCAGACCTAAATTAAGCCCAGAACTACATGGTGCCTTGATTTTAGGGATGATATATGTTTGGGTGCCCTTAGTGGGAAAGAATGATTTCTGAGAGGCGTTAGGACGGTCATACCTGCCAGAAACTTGGAGATAGAGGGGAGACAAAGCTACCTTTCTGCAGAGCCTTCTGGTGCTTCTTTTCTTGCTAATTCCCGGTGTTGTGTGTCCTCAGACTTCTCTCCCACTGCCCACTATCGTCTCTGTCTCCTCTTCAG